GATAAAGCTGGTGAAGAAGCCGAGTGGCTTAGAAATTTTTTATCCGATATTCCATGTTGGGATAAGACTTTGCCGCCTGTGATGATTCACTGTGATAGTCAAACTGCTATAGGTAGGGCGCAAAGCAACTTGTATAATGGTAAGTCTAGACATATTCGTCGTAGACATAATACCGTACGCCAATTGATCACAAATGGTGTTATTTCCATTGACTATGTGAAATCTAAGGAAAATTTGGCTGATCCTTTGACGAAAGGATTGAATAGAGATCAATTGGTAGTTTTGCTAGAGGGAATGGGCTTAAAAATCCACAATTTAAAGAATGATCATAGTGGTAACCCTACCATGCTAAGTGGAGATCCCACGAACTTGGTTCAAAGGGAAAACTAAGCTATGAAAATTCAGTTGAGCACTTGGAAAATATGAATGTCCTAAGCTATTCCCTTGAGCACTCCAAGTGCAAGATGACCTGTTGATTGTGGTGAGGATAAGTCATGTGGACTTTTAATGAATCCCTAACCTTGTAAAGGTGGAGTAATATAGGATACTCTTGATAGGGAGGTCACCTATATAAGTGTGAAGTGTGGGCCGCTTCAAATGTAAACACTTATGAATCTAAAGTGATGTCCATGGCCAAAACGGACACAACGATAGAACGGAATGGAGTTAAGATTCTATTGTGTGAATGTCATTGTCTAGGCGTACACTATGGAGGAATAGTTCAAGGCATTATGTCCACTAGGCCGCCAGTGCATCCGATGATGTTTACTACGAAAGGTTCAAAGCCAAAAACTACCTTTTCTGATGCAATAGAGTTTTGTGAGAATTGAGCACACTAGTATGTATATATTTAATTTACACTCATGTGGGGGATTGTAATAATTGAGTGTAAAGTCAATGCTAACTAATATCATTATTAAAACAAATTGACAACAAATTGGCATCTTCCAGCTCAATTCATGTGAAAGAGAATCTTTGCCATCTGCACAAGACAATTTGTATTTGGTGTCATAATTGAGTTTAAGAGTAGGCTTTATCTACTAGGCTTGATCTGTTCTCTTTCCCTATAAAAAGGCCATTCGGCCAGAAGAAAAAAGACACACCGAAAAAGAGAAATAGAGAGTAAAAGAAATAGAAAGAGTAAGACAAGTAAAGATAGATTTATGTCCAAATATCGGATATAAAAATATCAAAAGAGAAGAAACAAATAATATTTTTATTTGTTTTATGATATATCTTTTTATTTTTAGTGCTCAATTCTCTACTCCGTTCAAGTTCGACGGAGCTCGTAAATCTGGTGTGCTACAGATTTAGAGACGTTTGCCGTTGTATCTTTGGGGAAGTTACGTCTGAACCGTTAGCTGACACACGGGGCGTATTCTTCTTGCGGAAAGAGTTTTACTCGCCTCGGCTAAAATCTTTCCGTTTTAAGTTTTAATTTATTTTTCGGTTGTAATTTATTTTTCAGTTCGATTGTAATTTTTTTTTTTTTTTT